TTTACGTGAAATAATATCCGATCAACTCTAATTCAATTTATTGTAAATCGATTTCTTTTATTTTATTTAAAATTAAGCGGAATCATTTCGAAAATGCTTGCAACTTCGCATATTTTGTAGTGTCGTAAGTATTGAAAAATATGGCAGTTTTGAAATTTAGTAAAAATGTTTTACAGTTTTTGAAATATTAATAAAAATAAATTATCACTTAAAAAACTACTTAACATAAATTACCTATAAAATTTCAAAAGAGCATGAAGGAATATTATTACTTTAGTGTTTTACGAAAGACTCAGAAAATCAGTCAAAAATGCACGACGTTTCTAGTTTAAATGCTTAATTTAACACTTTGAATGATGTTAATGAAAAGTGAGATTTACAAATTTCCATATTCATTGAAACTATATGAAATGTGGTTATTAAAATCGAAATCACTATCGAAATGTAATTTTTTTGGGTAAATCACGCGTAAAAATTATCAAGGAGGAAGCTGATGATGATTATATTCATGCAAATTACATTAGCACACCATATTTAGAACGGCGATTTATATGCTTAAAAATTAGGGATCGCTGTGATACTATACGTGAAAATTAATACTCGTGAAACACGCATATTAACAACAAAAACAATAAATTTTACGCCTATTTTATATGATTGTCCTGATGTTATTTTGCATATTCAAAATTATGTATTAAATTATGCAAAATTGATGAAGGTACGTAATTTTGCATGTTCTACGAGAATATGAAGTCAACTTGTCGAAAAAAATGTGTTGCACAATATAATAAGTATTTTGGAGATGTCCTATTCTATTGCTTATGCGAAAAATAGCGGATTTTGAGGTTATTTTGCGTATTCAATATAATGTTTCAACTTTTGTAAAATTGAATAACTCCTGTTTGTATTCAAAGGAGTGCTGATTTTTTTCATTCATGACTTCATTCATTACTATGCATTTCAATCTTTTGATGTTTTCTGTAGGTTAAAATCTAATATATGTATGACAAATTAAATTTACAAAGAATAAAGTATTCTTGTAGTAAAATGATTCAAATGCAAGTTTAATAGAAGTAAAAAAAGAATTCCTTTGAATTCGTAAGTCTAATTTCTGATCTAAAGATCTAATGAATTTTATTTCTTTCGAATTCAGGAATGTTCCTGTGGACAACTGAAGTGGGATGAAAGAAATCTTTTTAGATCAAAACTGAATGATCCCTGATGAATGCTATCCCATGTTGTTTAAAATTTGACCTACTCGACCGCAGCAGAGTTGTGAAAGAAGTCGTTTCTTACGTACTATCTTATTTTGAGTACTACCTGAATCTTAGCTGATTTTGTTTCCGCGAACGATTTTTAGGATCCAAATTTCACTTACTCAATTACTTTTGGTCAGCACTCTTCCGCTATTATTGAAACAGATAGTGTTTTTGTTTAATATTTGACCTACTCGACCGCAGCAGAGTTGTGAAAGAAATCGTTTCTCACGAATAATATGATAACTTCTTTCACAAATAAGATGATAACACTATTATTAGAGTTTATCATCTTATTTTGATTGCAAAAGATAGCTTTCATATTATTTTAATTGAGTGCTTTAGAAAATTTAAATTAAAAATATTGCTTACTCTTTGGTATTTCTTTGCACTTATTGTACTCATCGTGTTTATTCTCGTCTTACCAGTCAAGCTTGCGAAGATATACATCAACAATAAAGAAATATACTTTTTATCAATGATCATTATCATCAAATGGATGCCATCACTGATTCGCCCGGAAAGTACTGGCCTGTATCTCGCAAATATGATCGAATTAACCGTAATTACAAGTTTCCTAAAAAGTAGGCTTCTTTTTCTGATTTAGCGTGTTCCAAATTTTTCATCCGCAATGCAAAATCTAGATATTGCAGTCATGTGCACATAGATTGATAGAAACAGTTTAACAACATTGGCGAATTTTTAATCACTCATTCAAATAGTGCTGTAATTAATAATTACAGACCTTGTCCCTTTCGAATGAAAAAGTATTACCCCGTCATCAGGACTAGCGATCCAGATACTAAAGTATGCTCCAGTTCACGTTTAAGCATAGTTTGAATAATACAAACCTCTGTTTGCTTGCTTTGTTTGAGTGGTATGGGTTCAATTTAAGCGATATTTTACTACCATAAAAATAAAGAAATTTTTCAGCGTCGTCTTGCAGCTATGTGCGACTATTATCCAAAGGTGGATTTGCATGCACGTTCTGATCAAGTATTGCTTTACAGTTTGAAACATCTAAAATTATATTGATTAATGTTGCTTAAAAAATTGAAATTTATTCTATTATATTTATTGATTAGTGACACTTTAACAAATTTTTTCAACTTATTAAGCGCTAATTCTTTTAGGGAATGCGAACAGTGATCAATGATTTGCCTGATGACGTATTTCTGATAATATTTCAATATTTTCATCCGATTCAGCTCATCCAATCTATTTCATTGGTTTGTCACCGTTGGCATTACCTAGCAAATAACCCCATTCTATTTACCGAGGTCCGAATCTTAATTGATGGTGTTTCAATACCAAGCGGATGTGCCAAAAATTTTCTACAAAAAGTAACATTCAATTTTGAAATCATGTTTGAAGTCGATTTCACATTGATCAGTTTTATTCACTCGAAATTTATTTGTTCTTACAATTCTATAGATGTGTTTCAGATTTCAAACCATGCTAAAAAAATTTGTTTAATCAGTTCTTTCACTTCACCGTCATCACAGATTGACCAATTATTTGACTTATGCTTGCCTAAGGTCACCTACCTCGATCTTACCTCTTTATTTGGTATGCTTTTAAGCATTTAGCAAGCTAGAAAAACGTATTAAACAAACTATGATTTACCAAAAAAAATAAAAGAGTATCACCTCAGCATTTTCATCTTGCTGCGTCCAATAATTTCTAGCTAGTTAATTAAAAAAATATTCCCAGATTTAGAAATGAACTTTGCTCTGTTGAAGAAAATTTCAACCTGTTTTCCAAATGTTGAGACATTACATTTTAATAAGGTGAGTCAAGCGTAAAGTATTTTCTAAATTGTATAGATGCAAGGTATGTTTTGTGCTTTACTTTTTAAATTTTAGGTTTTTTAGCATTTCAAGTTTTCAGGAATTGAAATTTTTTAAGCATTTACTGTTTATATATCAAAATTTTGAACTTTATTAAGATCTTTTATAGAATTCACTGCTAGAAGAATACGATGGAATCTTGAAAATGATTTTCGAAGATAATAAAATTTTTCCAAAGCTGCTAAATTTTTTCATATATAATGATGACCGATCATTTTCTGATAATTCTGCACTATATTCGCCTTGCTGTCGTCCTTTGAATATGCTAAGTATGTACGAAGGAGGGGTTAAAATAAAGTAAATTTTTTAACTTTTAAACCTGATCAAGTTAATGTCATTTTTGTTGAACCATTCTTTATGTATTACCTTATCCATAAAGACTGTCTACATTCAACACATTTCTCATAACTTCCTGCAATACGATCGCTGATTTGTTGTCACCATGTGCTAGTAATTAATATATTTTTCACATGCTTTGACATAAGTTTTCATGTTTGTAGTTTTCGCATTATTCATCGTTCCGAATGGATCAATAGTCTTACTTCACTTGAGATCGAATCTGTGGTTCCCGATTACTTTTTTTACATTGGCAAACTACGTAATTTAAAAGTGCTGGGATTGGGCATTTGTTCATCAAGCACATCACAAGATCTTCTTTTTTTGAAGGCATCATTTCATATTTACATAACTTTCGGAGGAATACGTTCGATATGTCTTACAGTCATACATTTTGAAGGAGTACTGACTGCATGAAAATCTGAAACGAATCAAGCATATCCATAATCGTTGAATATTGAAACAAATGATTTCAGAAACTGCACAAACTGGAAGAGTTGAGATTATCGCTTCCTTGCTTAAGTAGGATGATATCAAATGCAGATCTGATTTCTCTTTTCAGTTTAAAAAAACGAAAAAATTATTTCCCATCCAAACTTAAGTGCTTAACACTTCGAAGTTTTCCTATGCTGCAAACTTCTTTTCTAGATTGTATAGACGCAAGGTATGTTTTGCCTTCACTACTCCAGTTACCTGACGCTTCACAGATTCTGATTGCCAGAGAGATATGCTAGTATTATTTTCGTTTAGAATTGAAAAAGATCAATCACTAAGTAAAATAAAATAGGCAGTCTGTACAAGCATCATTTTTAAAACTTGACTTCTATAGCTGTCCAGAATTGCGAGCACTAGATATAGCAGGCAGTAAACTCGATCATGAGAAAATCTTATTCCACATTATAACTTGTTTTAGGTAACTCTTCTTGTAATTTTATGTACTTTATCAATTCCGTATATACTGAATGCAAATTATACTTGTGCAGATAATTTGGAAATCAAACCTACAAACCTGAAGATCATCTTTGATGTCACTAAACATAGATTGTCTCTTTTGGCATATAAATAAGTTTAGTCAATGTTTTTAGAAATTTAATGTATTTGAATCTAAGTGATCTGGGATCAGCTTATACTAACAAAGTTTGGTGGAAATTGGGGAAAAGTGAAGACAAATTGCCAAAGTTGCGTTTCCTTAAGCTCCATAATAATGAGGTATCGCTCTTACGCGTTCAGAGTTTCCAAAATACTGCTAACAAAAAAAATGCTCTTTATTTAAATTCCGAATTTCCCAATGTTTGAATAACCCATGAAGGAGAGAGCTGCTTTAGGAAATCTGAACTGATGAAATCTGTAGAATTCCTGTATTTAAAGATTGTTATTAATTGTTATGTTAGTGACACGGAGCTCAATCTTGCAGAGAAATTATCCATATTCCTAATAAATTCATCAATGAGTTAAATACATTTTGCCAGTCCGAAACGTAATTAATGTAAAATTATATTTCTTTGAGTTTTTTTCTGACTTAGTTTCAGATATGCATGAAAGCTCTGATGACCCTCAATTTGAAACGTCCGAAATTGCTGATTACAGTCGAAAAATTGTCCATCATTAACTGGACACTAACTGGAAATGATATCACTTTTCACAAACAATTTGATGGCGATCTGAATGCACTAGAATGTGACCTATGCCAAATTAATGAGCTGAGAGCTGGTTTCATGACATCTGCACTTCCATACTTACTAAAGTAACACCATCAATGTAAAATCATTATTTATACTAATGTGAATTTAGATTTATTGTACACACTATGTACTACCTGACTTAAATATCACATTCTATTTCTAAAAGTTGCGCACATTATATATGCACATTATTACTAAATATTATTCATGTATATACTCAAGCTTTACGTTGTTTTGTCCATTGTATATGAATTATTTTCATTTACATGTACTGGTGAGGCGTTTTTAGCGCTAGCATTCACTTCTGAAATGAAACTAAGCATTTGCTGGGACATATAGGAAAGTGTTTTCACGCAACACGTACTCCTCACGCGCCAAACTGGATGCTTATTTCAGTCAAACTGAACGTGTAACAAAATACGACTGACGATGTATTATAGCGATTTTTGTCTGTGTCCGATTTTCTGGACTCATTGATCGATAGATGCACAATTAAAAAGAGAAATGTGGTGAGCTGTGATGCTTCTACTGTATTGTGTGTGTGGGGTGGGTGTTGGAGAGCAGTGGTTGCTTCAAAATGGAGTTCAATGCACAGATGTTTTTAACAAATTTTTTGGCATTTTTTGTGACGTATCTACGTGTAATGGCGTAGGTTTTCTGAAGGAAACAGAATTTCCATGTTGTGTTGTGTATGAAAAAACGTTGTGTATATAATATGTAGACTTGAGTAAGTGATAATGCATAGTGCTACTTCTTAATTTTACAGAAATGAGTAATAATACATTTGGCTTCGAAGATCTTAATGAGTAACTGGATAATGAGTTGTTAAAGTAATACAAAAATACGTGAGGTAATGAATTAGTGATGTGTTGGCATATACATATAATGCTTACTTTTATGAGCTGTTTGTTTGTACATCAACCAGTACTGGGTAAGAAAGTGAACGAAAAAACACTTCTTTCTACTTCATACAAATCTACAAGCAATGTGAAATAGCACTTAACATATTCACGATTTCTGGCATTAGTCAGAATGAGTAATTTCTTGCAGTCAACTTTGTCGAATGGAAGTGGAGATATGGCTAAGGCAGTTAATATCATGCATGTGGTCCGAGATATATCCATTATGAAGATCCAACAAATGTCTTGGGTCTTTATGAACATGAAATGTGCATTACTCGACCTTCGCCTATGCATGTCATGTTTCACGAGACCTTGCACTTTTACTGTAGCACAAGAATATGCAGTCAATTTTGACATATTCTACTGATGTACATGTAGCAAACCCAAAGCTAACAATATTTATCACTTCATAAATTTATCACTTTCAAATGTCCCGTTTGATGAAAACCCTAAAATAAAACCATATAATGCAGGTCAGTAGTCTTGCTATGAATTAAGTGGATGTACCATTGCAAGGGTGAATAGTTCAGGCGCCAAACAATTTTAAGAAAAAAATTTTTATCATTTATACCCAATTATTGTATGACGTTTCTTATTGCTTCTAGCCAGTAATGAAACGAAATTTAATTTCGGGAGTATAATGCTAAAGACGAATTTGTAGGGAATCTGAAAGTTTGTTGCATTAAAATGGTCAAGTGGCAACTATTTACTTTACAGTATTGGTAGGGTCATGATTTTTTTTAAACTTTTTTTAACATGAAGATTAAGAAGAGTAATGTATAATTGTAAAGTATCAACGTTTTTGCCTCCATGTTTATAGTTAGTTATTATTTGTATGCAAATTTAATTGCATCAAATATTTAGCCAAAAAATTGTGTGTCTGTGAGTTATTTACCAATGCAGTTATATATACTATTAAATTTATAATTGCTTCATGATTTGTGTACAAGCATATGGCATGTATTAGCACTGAATCTCAAACAAAGTCAAAGGTAGGTAAATCTCAAATAACATCATAGTGGATGGCCTCTTCCAGTTTTACGTCTTTTTCTTTCAGTTCGATCTGCTGTTTCTGTTAATATGGTATTTGCTGGTGATAAGTCGCAGAAAGCCATTAAATGCCAATGTAAGAAACAAGTTAGTATTAGTAAAATAAATTCGGCCGCAAAAAGTACACCGAAGAATACAGCTCTTTCTTTTATTCTCGACCAACCTGAAAATTTTCATCAAAAAATCCGATTTTTTCCATTTTATAATGACTAAAGTTCATATTTCCTTGGGACAAAACTGTATTACAACTGTAAAAAAGTCTAAATGAATTAGTGAAAAATTGCTTGGACGATTTGACTACAAAAATTTTTTTTTCTTAGTAACATTCAGGAGAAAAGAAAAAAGAGTCAATCTTGTTTATTAGCAAAACTGTCTCAGATATGATATTATAATCTTGAACTTTTTTGACATTACAAATTGATCTCGTCAAAATCACTCTTACTTATCCTTTTGAAAAACTTCAATTTTCATCATGACTGAAAAAAGTCATCAAATGCCTATGTATTCCTTTCTGAATCAAGAAATAAGGGTTTCCAATATTAGTTTCTAAATTTTGTCTAGATTATTAAAAGTCATGCAAAATCAACAAAAGATCTGAACTAACCAAATGCACTTGATTTTTTATACGTTTGAATGATTTTTGAAGTGATTTCTTCGCTTCGCAAAGGATAGATAATAAAAAATAACATAATTGCAACGGATTTCAAGGTAAAACCAGTGAACTGTATTAAAAACAATTTATTATTAAATTGATTTTCAGCACTATTTGAACCAAATATCTAATAAGTCAATACAAATTTTTTGTTTAATAGAAGTATAAAGATGAGAATTCAATCTGAAAATTATTATCAAAATGTTAATTCATATTACTTGACAGATGCAATTTTGATTCCTTGCTTTATACTTAATGAAGTATTCAGTAGATACACATGTCGACATTCAACTTGTGGAAATAAAGCTCTCTGCACAGTAAAAATTAAACTCACATGATGTAATGCACCAAAGCAACTTTTTAATGATTCTTTAATCTTAATTTTCATCATAAATTTTTCTTCCTTTAGCTTCCCAACTTTCTTGAAAATTTTTTTTCTGCTTTTTATTTATGTTGCTAACTAAATTTTCAAATTAGCGCAAGTAATTTTTTAATTTTAATGTAATACTTTTTATCGTAGGGCCAGAAGTAGAAAAAAATTTTTGTCAATAAAAATTATTAATTACTTAATACAAGTTACTTATTTTACATGACGGAATATTTTCGAATTATCATCAAATTTGTTTTTCAAATTTTTAAAAGTCAAGAAATTCATAATGAAGAGTGAACCGCGATAAAAATGCATGGCCACAAATTTCGTCGTCGATTTCCTCTCAAAACAACAATTGTGTGAACAAGTACTATAAGAGGTATTACGATTGCTGTTAGTGATATCGGATAATTTAAGATGATAATAAATGATGAGGTAAGCGTGTACAAAAATATTCCAGTAATTACAAATCTCTGAAATGCTTAATTGGAAGAAGTAAAAAGTATTAAAATAAATGCAACGGAAATGAGATAGAAATTGAAATTGAAAAATAAATAAAGCATAAAATTAATCAAATTCGGCTTGGTATTTTGCTTATGTCAAGTAATTACTCTTTTTTTTGGGCTAAAATTTGAATGATTAATATCACATCAAAACTTTTATTATGCATTCAAAAAATAATTTGACGGCATTATTTTGATTTAGTTGAAAGATAATATCATTAAAACAAAATGTATTTGTTGGAAACATATGAAGTAAAAAAATTATTCACAAAACTAACTGTGATATCGCATTCTTTATTATGATCATTGTGTCTGTTCTCCATATCCATCCTTAGTTGGCGATCTGGTGGTAGAGGGTTATGAATGAATATCATTTCAATTGGTTATCCTGAAAGTTAATGCCAAGTTACTCAAAAATAGGAAATAAGTAATTTTCTGAATACTTGGAAACTAATTGAAATGCCAATAAACATCATATATTAATTAGGATTACATGACTAATTATTAACCAATTGAAATGATATCCATGTAAAATGATACTGAATTTCTCATAGGGGTATAAATCCTCCTTAAATATGATTGTAACTGCTATTTTTTAAATAACGCTTGCTAGTTGAAAGTAATAATAATACTAAATTTCACGAACCGATTACATTAAGGAACAGGATGAGAAACAGAAATAACGGAAAAGCAAGGCTGAATTTTCGATTGCCAGAAGTAACAATGAAATTAAATTAAAGTTTGGAGTACAGACCATCTCTGATATACTCTGAATAAATTACTTTAAATCTTGACAGCTTCTAATCAACTTTGACCCAAGGGACAGGAAAGTAAGTTATGTTTGAAAACAATTAAGACAGCGAAAACATTTGGCAATAAAATTGAATTTGGCAACTTTTGGGCTAATTAAAATTTTACCAAAATTTTTTTGCAATTTCAGTTTGATCATGATGCTTGCGAAGGAAATTTTGGTTGAGGCAGTGAAATCAAATTATTATCTGCAATGATTTCACTTAAGAACTAATTTTTTGTTGAACTTTTTTCCATGATATAAACTTCACTAAATTCAACGAAATACAGTTTGATATCAATAGCAAAGAATTACATCAGCTAATGTCTGAGAGAACTAATTTATAATTTTATTAAATGAACGCCAATTATGGTATTTAACGGACATAATGAATTTCAAAGTAAAAAACAGTTTTGCGCAGCTTTAGAAGGATTCCCTTAGCTATTCGACTTAACAACAACACCTACTATTAAGGATCGCACAAAATCAAAGGATGAAAAGTTGCCGCAAGATTTCCTATCTGATGCATGTCCATTTTTATAGAACTGATCTTTTTTAAAGTTGCAACTTGAAAATGAAACATTATGTGTTTATGTAGTGAATGACTTCCCGAAAATCAAGATTCGTTAATGATTGACAGATTCTCACCTAGACAAACTCACGTTTTATCGATGTTTGATTTCTTTTCAAAATGTGGAAAAAATTCGAATTTAAAATGCAAAAATGTATTATATTTATCAAGTTTTACGAAGAGTTTCAGGCTGTTTAACATTAATAATTTAAAGTTTGATCGATGCTTAGATTTTGAGCAGTAAGAGTTGGCTTTTTAACAGAATAAAACAGTGAAGAAATAGTTTCTGCTTGCTAAAATAAGTTAAAAGATCATTTTTTTTCTAACAAAATAAAAGTGTTTTGGTCATGTTTGATCCTCTGAAAAATGCAATATTGATGTTTTGGTTTTTATTTGCAAGGCATCTTTTCTTACAAGTAATATTTGATCAAATCAAAAGGGATTAATATGCCTATCTGGCAGCTGCTAGATTAGATTGCAATACTGAATTAATTTATTTTTTCTAACATTAGAACAAATATTACTTGTAAGAAGAAATGCCTTGCAAATAAAAACCAAAACATCAATATTAATAGCTTTTTTTATTTTTTAAACTTTCAACAATAATCGAAGCCTTCCTTATAAGCTTTTCCTTTCCCTTTGTCAAATGTGATATTCTGTAGTAAACTCTTCCCGCGCTAAACTGTAAAGAATCTTATAACTATTCAAAAAAATTGCAAAGATTTAAAAAAAATTTTTTTTATCTTCTTTCAACGAAGAAAAGTATTACTAAGCACATTATTCTTTTCTTTGATTAAAATATTATTCATTTTATTGAGTTGTAGACTAGAAAAAATTGGCGGTTAAAAATCTGTTTCTTTTGACTGAATTCACCGATTATCGCTATTGCTCTACGCAAATTTCATTAAAATATGATCAGATCAAATTTTAGCAAAATTTGAAATCAGTGAAAGCAATAGTGAGCAGATAATAAATTTGTTGATGATATTTATCAAATGATCAATAGATAAAATTTCAGCAATTTTCTAAACAAACAAGAAATATTTCAACCGAAGTGCTTTCATGACTTTAATATCAAATATTTGGCATCGCAAAGTTAGCATGCTAAAACTGAGGAATAAAAAAGTTTTTGCACTAATTTTATCGCTTCAGAAAAATTTGAAAGTGATGTCTAAGAAATTAAGCAAGCGCTAAAATTAATTAGCGAGGAAAAAAATCGCCCAAATTTAAATCTAACAATTGAAAAAGAAGACAAGCAGTGCATTTCTCGAAAAACTCTCAAACTGTTCGTATCCTTCCATGTCATCAATGTTTCAAGTGATAATACTTCCTTATATCGACTTGTTTTCTTTCCTTTTCCATTTTCAGAAGTTTTCAAAAGTATCTGCCATATCACAGCAAGAAAATCCGACCCAAAATTAAATTAAAACTAAATGAGAAAACACGCCAGAAATATGGATGCAATTGAATTTCAAGGAATCAAAAAAAGTTCTGATAAGTTTCTGATAGAATTAATGAAAATATTTCTAATTTCCAAGTTTTTAACATTTAGTTTCTATTCTCCAGTAATTAAGTATTGAAGTTATCAAAAGATTATACACACATACAAGCACATAATTAACCTTAATTGTACATTCTTACCATTTATTTTAGATAAACTTTATTTTTTCCAAGAATTCGCAGCACAAATTGAATGTGCCAGCAAATTTTAATTACATGAACGTTTATCTTCCAATTTTCAGTTACATTTGCAATTTCCATTCAAGGGCTTTGAGCAATTGAAACTAAGTGAAAGGGCTAGTGGACAAGCCTGAAAATGCTTTCTCTGACAAACTTTGAAGTGACTATCGAGAAATTTCATAAAAAACTGGGAAGAAAAGAATCAAAAAAAGATTCACTATAATGTAATTGCAATTTGCTATTGAATTTATTTCCTTTTACTTACTTTTCTTTTAATTAAGTTCTAATATTACGCTGAAATGATAAATTATTAAAATTGGAAATTGATTAAGATTGCAATAGAAATGCTTAAGAAATTTGCAAAACAGTTGCCATGTATTCTGAACACATCTGAGAGGCTTGAAGAAATTAACGAATATTTTTGATTTGCTTGCAACTGATTAATTTATATACTACTTAACTGCTTAAAAATTTGTCAGAAATAAAAATTTTCAAAAAAATATTTCATACAACTAACAACTATTTTGTTTTGTGCTTCAAACATGCTTATTTTGTCCAGCCTAAAGAATTTTTATCATGTATTTAGTCTATATCTATTATTAAATGACAATTTTCTAGTAGTTTCAATAAAATAAAAATGGTTTCTGATATATTTTTAACAACTAGTTGTTATATGAGGAAGAATGGGTTTACTTTTTGGCTACAGCAATATTTTCTCCAACGAATATATATATATATATATATGTGCAATTTTGTTTCGAGGTATCCAAAAGAATTTGCAGTTCTTGTCGGATTTCAATCGTTTATTGAGCAAAAAAATATTTCAGGAAGCTTTCATTATTTGAATTTTTGTAATTGGTGTTTGCCAATTTCAGTAAAATGTAAAAGAATATTTTATCAAATTAAAAGCGCGTAATATGCTAAAAACAAAGCTATTTTCACGAAATCGAAAGCTTATTTGCAATAAATTTGACAAAATTAATGCAGATGTAAGCGATTAATCTAGTCTAAATTAGTTTTGAAAATTTTCAAGTGTTTTTTATGAGTATTGAATTGTGATAAAGTATTTTGTTTTTCATTTGCAAGCTCTGATGGAGTTATGTTAGTGGAAAATTCATTTTTTTTCCAAAATGCAAAAGACTTAACATTTATTAACAAGACTGTGTTTTCTCGAATATCTCCGAAAAAGCGTAAATAAAATTATTAAGTGAAAGAGTAGCTGAGATTGATAAAGAATGCAAATTTTTTAAAAATGGGACAAAGGATTAAATTCATAAACAAACTAATTGAGTAGTTAAGACTGACATCCTAGATCATAATTTTAAGCGTATTGATTTCAACTGTTTTTCAAATGACTTATCAACTAGCTTGTTAACACTACATTCTGATGTTTGTTCCTAAACTCACCTCATTTCGGTCCATCAAATTTCATAAATAAATATCACATAAAAGTTATATTTCGGTCAGTTTTGATTTGATTTCAATTTGAATTTAAGAAATCATTGAAAAAATAAATTATTTAGTGCCTGGGTGATTATTTTTCTTTCATCGACGCTGCCAATATGCTACGTTTTGATACAGCATCGAACTTGAATTATTATCATTAAAGAAGTTTAATTTTTATCAGAATTACTTCTTAATTTCATCAATACTTGGTCATTTGCTAAATAAACTTGATTTATATTTTGATATTCTGAAATTGACATTCAGCATATGCTATTTACGATAATATTCACTTCAGCAGTTTCAAAATTGAGTAATGTTTAATCCTGTACTAGTATTTACTTACTAAATCAATAATTTCCATCAATGATCATAAAATTAAGTTATCTTTAAATGTCTAAAACATTAAATTGAAATAAAATATTATACACAAATTCATATATTTCTGTAACTGAAGAAGGTATTTAAGATAAAGTTCTAAAACTGAATACTTGAAATTAATTAAGAATTACAATTTTCTCAAGGAATTTTGAAAAAAGTTGATAATTTTTTATTATTTTTTTTCTAAAACTGACAGCATTCACTTCTTTGTCAAGTTCATTTTTCTCAAAATCTAACAGCACCAACTGTTCCTTCTGACTCAAAAATGATAACACTTTTTCCTTCTTGGACTCTATTCTAAAGTGAATTTGAACTTTATTCTAATTGATAGAAGTGATAACTGATTATTATTATTGTTAGATAGAAGACAGCATTAATATTTCTTTGTAGCAAATAAAATGAACTATCTATTGGTGCTTATTAGATTGGAAAATCATTAAATTAGTAGAAAAGCAGCCTTTTTTCCTTATAATAAGTACCTACTACAAAAATAGAATTGTTAGAATTATTTTCATCATTGATAGCTTAAATTTTGAAATCTACAAGAATATGCATACCTAACACCACCATATTTCATCGCATCTTTGCGTTTTTGCTCGTCACAGCATGTTTAAAAAATGATAAATAGCACAAGCTCATAAAAACAAAAATATAATGAATGGATAGTTTTTTAAATAATATCCAAGAATGCACTGAGTGGAATAGTTTGGGATCAAATGTAAGTCAAAGAGAAAAATTTGTATCTCATGTCCGAAAATTAGAAGCAAATTAGAATGGTGTTGGAGGTAATGAAATTGAGATGCATTGCGCGAATTACTCAAGTTGGAAAAGCTATTTATTATTATTTATTTACTTCACGGCCAAAATCCTAGGCAATAATTGTGATCTCTTGAAGATAGATATATATACTAGTCTGTCTATGTTTATAAGTGTGCGCATGTATACATTTATACATATAATAAATGTTAACGTGCGTATGTGCGTGCATGTGTGTTTGTGTCTGTGTGGTGAATACACGTAAAAATGTGATCACTGATTCACGGAAACCGTACACAACTTCTAGAGCAGATGCACATTGAAAGAAAAATATTTCTTAGCATTGTGCCAATCACACCTGTCATATTTTGACTAACTCTGTCAAAGCTAAAAATATAAGATCGAAAACTGACTTTCCTCTACTGTAACATTGTTTAGCAAACGTTTTACTCATTCAATTTATCGAAGCTTTCGAGAAATTTTTGCAAGGATTCAGAAAAACCACGTAAGAAAGCATATGAGAATATACGCATAAACTTTTAATCACAACTTTCATATGTAACAATGACTTGCATACATGCACTAAATAATGTATATTAATTCGAGATGTACTAAATAATTCAAAAATATATATTTAATAGCGTCAGGATTTTCATCATTCTTTACTCAATACTATATTCTATCATTTTGTTTCTTACAATAAACTGCTTACAATCTTGCTTTTGTTGTAATTAAAATACAATTTTTGACTACGGAAAATGAGTGAAAAAAAACTTTACTCAAAAAATGGAAGCCAAGCAGAGAAGGAAAATTGAACAACGTAAATATTGCTTGCTTGACTTCTTAACTATCAAACACAAAACAATTTTTTCAAAATGAATGTTAGGCTAAATCCAAAAGCTTAAATTAAAGCCAAAAAAGATTTGGATGGCCAATTAATTATGCATCTTCGTAACTTACTCCAAATTTGTGCATTTCATTCCACATATATCATTTATCAGCAACTTTTTATACCATACCAACAATTCTGAATCCAATAAATGTTATTAATTTCAGAGCTTTTTGATCTTCAGAACGTATCGACCAAATAGAATTCGTATCAATGTTTGACAGTAAATTGATAATGTCATCATCATCAACAGAATATAAGAAGGACGCAAATCGGACTGCAAACATTCTTGAATTGGAGAGAGTTTCACTACAATTAGTAACACACTTACTGAGCAATAACTTAAAATGACCAGCCATTAAAATACTGTTTTTAGGATGCAAACTAAAACATTAGCTTCATATTTCATCTGAAAAATAGAACGAGAATTAATGACATAATTTTTCGAGTCATTTTCCTTGCAGAAATTTGAATGAAAAAATTCGTTATCAAAAGTTTAAAAGTCTTTTATTAAAATCAAAACATTTGTCTATTTTTATTACAAATAATAACTTTTTTCTTTTTTCACGCACTCTTCAAAATATTTGATAAAAAGTTACACAAAATACATGAGAGTATTGCGAAAAATTGAATTCAAAATTGGTTTTAGGCAAAAAATGGTTTCTATCTGAAAAAAATTTCAAATCAAAATTAATATTTTTTGTCTTCGAAAAAAAAAGATTTGTGAAAATTATTCGATCTCTACTTTCAACAAAATTATCATATGAGCTTGCTCGATTAGTGAAAGTTTAAATTACTGAATTTACGGTCTGCAATACTTAAATACACTTATATATCACATTTTGTAAGTTTGCTCATTTTCCCTGCATATCTATCCTTGTATTACTGATTACAACTTTCTGCCTGCTTCTATTTTATACTACGACTATTACCAATGTCGTAGTAATGATATTAATCTTATTACACCTAATGACATTATAATTAACAATATCAAAGTTATTTGTTCATATATTTTTTAAATATTTATCATAATAATAATAATGATTATGTTATTATTATTATTATTGTTATTACCCGTCAGCTATCACTATTATTATTATTGTTACCAATAGTGACCTGCAAAACTCGACGAATGTAGACTTGTACGACAAGATGTGAAGTAAGTACAGCTGAGATAGCCGAAAATAAGTACGCTTTGTTTAGCTGACGAGTGAAAAACCCGACGCAAATAAGAAACTGAAATTTTTAAACGAAATTTCACAAAATCCAAATAAAGGCAAAAACAATTCAAGAGTGCTTTATGGTTTTTTTATGGTTTGTTATTTTTGAGTTAATATTATATCTAATTGCTTACAATGAATCCAATGCCATTGATGAATCCAAAATATGCTTGTCGATCGTTGTTAAATTTTGGACCCAAAAGACGTGAAGAAACCGTTACAAATATCATATTGATTGCTTCTACCGGTAGATAAACTGCTGGTGAACAATTGCTAAGTAAAAAACCCACCAACAAACCCTCAAATGTCAAAGTAATAAGTTGTATTTATTGACTGCTTAAATAATTGTTTCTTTGATAACGCTGATTTACTCAAACATTTAACAAAGGAAATTTATTATTATTGTAAGTCAATTATCAAAACTTTTATAATTTTATACCTGAACTAATGCAGCAATAAGCAAAAGAAATCGTGATTTTCGCCCATATTCTTCATATGCTTTTAAATTAAAATATGAAATAATTGGTATAATGAAATAAGCAAGTAGAAGAGCAGATGACGAATCAATGATATAATTTAACACTAATGGTAAAATTGTTGATCCTAAAAAAGCTTTTTAATTTCTAAGCCAAAAATAATTTGTTCAAAATTCATATTTTAAATTCATCAGTGGCGTTGAATTCATTCAATAAAAGACTGAAAAGTTTAATCTCATTATTATGCTTCCGAAAGATACAAGCAGCAAATTAATGTCAATAAGCCGAATTATCAGGCTGAAATTCGTTTGGAAAAATACAAAAATATTTTGACCAAAGTTTATCTTCTTGTCAATTTTTATGATTAACTGTTATTATGATTCATAAATTAGACAGAAATACTGTTTAATGAACCTTGCATGTATGTAAAATAATAGGCGAGGAGCGTTATAATTCCCCATGCGAACGTCATGAAAAAACGGTGAAAATTTAAATTCTCTGGGATTGGTGTCTGAAAGATGCGAAAATCATTTTTGAATTCACAATTTTCTGTTTTAGGATGAATAATATTTAACAGCAATAAGCCAAACTGTTGAAAGTGAAAAGTTCTGAATTTATCTAAATGTGAACTCATCAAAAGAACTTAACATCCAAAGCAATAAAATGCTCACCTGATCCTCGAGAGCAGCGATTAGATCGTCTACAGCCAATTTCAGTTCCTTCTGTATCTCTTCATACATTACTGGTAGTCTCTCAATAAATTTATGAGCATATTCTTGAAATTGAGCAGATCTTCTGAGCAATACTTCATACACTGTAGTTATGCACTTGTATTTATCCGTCATCATATAATTAGTATGCGTGATCGGCAACAATAATAAAGTATTCTTGGCAAAATTAAGAATTAACGAAGACAATTAATCATAATAGTCAGTGAACTAAAGAGGTTGGTAAAAATAAAATTAACCAAATTAGTCAATTTCAATTCACAAAAATTGAAGATCCAAGAAAAGCATAATACAGTACTTGTGAATAATACGAATAAATGAAAGTTAAATAAAAAATGCGATAAAAATACTGACAGCATTGTCGTTTCACATTTTTGTAAAATATCAAATATTTTGCAGTACTAATTTATAATTGAGGTAAACTCGAGTTTGGTATTTTTTATCAAGATAATAATACTTTGGCTGAGGTCATCGCTGATTTGATAAAATGATAATTTATTCGGTGCATTCATCCCAAAACAAACGCAACCGCTCAGTTCTCAATTTGACAGCTAACAATATCATTATACTGCAAATTTTTATCTAAAATAATGTTTGCAAACTTAACTGCTCCTATTTATGCATTTTATTGTTTTCAAACAAGTTTTTTAAGTAAAATTGGCAAAATAATTATTTGCTGCTACATTGTGCGAACCAAAAATTAAAAGGCATTTTACGGATCCGTAAACTGTAATAAGCAACATAATTAACTTTTTCTGATCCTTATTGATGCGCGAGTTAGCATATCGCAATTTGCTATTTAAACACAAATCTTCTAGCAAATTTGAATGTGACAATTATCAGATTTAAAAACAGTTTGCTAAAATCAAGCATCATGCATAATTAAAAGTGAATTAATTAAAAACTTGAATGGCTTTGGTCAAACATAATTTGCCATGTGACATTTTTGAGAAATGTTTGTTCGAAAGCTAACTTGCAATTCATTAATGACATTAAATATCTCATTTTTTTTACTTTTGAAAATTATTAAAGTTAATGCAAATTAATACATGGCAGTGCATCGATTACAGTATGGTCATAGTGACACTTTATTTGTTTTTAATACCTTTAACTAATATTTGTAACTGTTTTTTAGTTTGCAAAATTTCTTATTATTTATTAGTAAATAGAAAGCAATAATTATCTGATGCAATCTTTAAAAAAATTATTATGTGAACAAAATAGGAGCAATTCACGATCACGTGATCTTATCGAAACTGAGTTTGAGATACTTCAGTACATTTTTGTGACTTAATTATGTCATATATCGTGCGAGTTTTTTTTAATAAAATAGGAAATAAAGTTTATTAATCAAAACAGGCTGAAACTTATTTATCATGACAAAAAAATTGTATTTACTTTTAAATATTTAACACAGAGAAGTAAAAAATTTGTTAAGTAATTCGATTTAATAAGGCTTTAATCGTCAATTTTATTCTTTTTAAATTTTTATTTGAGTGAAAACTATATTAAAAAAATGGTGCATTAGATATTGTTGAATACAAAAGGATATTATTTCGTTTACTAATAATTGATAGTTTGATTTTTTTGAAAAATTTTGACGATTTATTTGTTGATAATTGCTAAACACAAATATGAAATTCATAATACATAAAGTCGTAAATCAGTAATGCTGACAAAAAGCAAAGCAGTAAAGCAATAATTAATACAAGCTTAAAATCGCATTTAAGGCATCTTTTTTTAATTTTACAATTTTTAAAAACAAAAACCATTTGATAAATAAATAGCTGAGTGTAAAGGACAAAATATTTTGCCTGTGAAACAATTAGAGCAGAAGTGTTAAGCGATAGCGAACTACAGCTACTTTATCAAATCCTTAACACACTTTGCAGTGTCAAATAAATAATTTGTAAATAAACACTCAGTTTATCGTTGAGCTTTGAACCACAAATTGTGTGTTTTATATTATTTGGTCGTACATTTTAAGCACTAATTCAGTTAGTCAGAATGTGTAATCAGTTATGATCAAAAGTATTAAAAAACATCATTTTGCAAGCAATGCTTTGGAATGCAAACTGCTGAACAAATGGTGTTTTCTTCATATAACTGATTCTATCATCAAGGTGTTACTCATATTAATTGTCTTTAAATTCAAATAATATTATTTTTTATCCAATGTGCTGTCCTTTGTAGCAAGCATTAAACTTGCGTAAAAATGATTTTAGATGACTGACTTTGCATTACTTAACAATTAATCAGCGTTTACTTCAAGCCTTTCATAATTTGAATCTTAAACAGCAATTTGCATGAGTTCGCACCAACTGACATTATGCAAAATATTCTCAACTGCACAATTTACCAAATAACTACCACAAATATTTGCTAGCATACAAAATTGTTATAATATTAGTGTGTTTGAATTATTAAGCTCCATTGTTATTATTTTTTTTGCCAACTGCGTTAAAGTAAATTAAGTTAACTGGTTTATAACAATTCTTGTTTTAAAAGATAAAACTTATCATTTATCACTTTTTGTTGCAAATAAAATTCAAACCATTAATGTAAGAAAGTCAAAATTAATTTGAATTTCCAATTTACAAAATAAAATTGGCTTATGAATATTTTCAAAAAGTGCATATACAGTAAAATCGTATTTTTCAATCTGAAAACTTTTGGAGATTGTAACTTACTATTTTTTCATAAATAAAATACAAAATGTTTTCAAAGAATTAAATTTCTGATAACTGCTCACACTTTAAGAATGAAGAACTGACCTAAAATATAAAATTTGTATTCAAATTGGAATTACTTTAGTTTTCTAATCATTTACTTGAACTGTTTTCAAGCTATTTATTAAAAATCATCATAATTTTATGTAATTCATTTTAGGGAGGGTTAATTGTCTTAAGGTCAACAACTATTGCTTTCATATTATCGAGAGCAGTGCAATGATTTATCAAAAATTTAACTCCTTTCAAAATTTCATTTTCTTTGGTCTTTTTCAAAATGACCTAGCAGTAACTTTTTATTTCATTCACAAAAAGCTAAAAAAGGTTATTTTGCAGCAAAAGGTAAAATGAATGACTGGAAAATGTGTCACCCTGCATCACGGATTTTTAATAATTAATTTCGATGCAATTATTTCTAAAAATTAGCAAAGACAACTTTGTCGACTTGTTTTGAGGTTTTTACTTGATGGTATTATATATATTCCCATTATAAGTTACTGTTCACAGAAACAGACATGAAAAGGTATTACATAACCTATTGCTCAGAGCGCTGAAATTATTCAAATGTTAGATTTTTAAACATAAAAGTATAGTAGAAGTACACTTTTATTTAATACATTGTTTTTTTAATATTTATTATCCCCTATGTGAAATAATACTGCCAAAAGTACTCTTCTTTTGCTGCATTGTAATATGCATTTATATTTGTTTTAGCATGCAACGAGATTATACAGAACTTTTAAGAATCATCGCCTAACTGATTTATTAAATTTTGGGTAAAAAGGCAAGTTTATAGGAGATATTTGTGCAAAATAATAATTTATTCAAAGTTATCATGTGTAGGTAAATTATATCGAATATGTTTACTTCATAAATTGAATTAATCTGAAACTTTATAATTTACTAAAGTCATGTTTTATTTTATTTTTCAGTATGTGGTGATCAATTAGATCTTAAATAAAATTATTAACTATTAATTCTTCTAACTATATTAAATTTATAATGTCAAATAATCAATACTACAAAATTATCACTTTATGCTCATAAACAGGAAGACAAATAATCAGTAAAAAAAAAGCACGACAAAGCTTTAATTATAGTTAAAAGCCTCGTTGTAAGCCGATAATATGTACTCATCACTTACGTGTAGGTTGATAGATGATTTTTCAATTGAAAAAAAGTTAAGTCTTTTATTTTCCAAGTGATCGTTACTGCGATTTGGGCTAAAGCGTTCAGTTGTAATATTGCGTGAAAATCAAATGTTCACCTTAACATACTCTATCATTACTTTTTGATGTGAATTTCGCGACTATAGTGACGTGTTATTTTGTATTCAAAAGAAAAAATGGTTGTAAGATCACATTTTCTCAAGAACGAATGCTATTCATTTCAGTGCAAATAAATAAAAATCATAAAATTGCAATTGGAATGAAATTTATTTGGTAGAACGATTCAGATTAAAAGTTGCATTATTGCCATTTTTTTCCATAGCAATTCATCTTTTATTTCTTTTTTTTCCAAAATTTATGCCATTCATTCAATTTCAGTATTTAATATCTTAAATATATCATTCTAGTTCGATCTTGCACTGTTCATTCTAGTTTGATCTTGCACTGTTCATTCTAGCTTGATCTTGCACTGCTCATTTTAGTTTGATCTTGCACTGTTCATTCTAGCTTGATCTTGCACTGCTCATCTTAGTTTGCTCTTGCACTGCTCATTCTTTATCCTCATTCCAAACCATTTATACTGCATAAAAGTGTTGTCATATAGTTTGAGAATGGTGGAATGGTGGCATTTGTTTCACTTTCATGCTTGTCATTCCCCTCAAGCATATTGATTCTTTATGGACACGTTTGCGTTAGCCAGACCATTTCTTTGAGGGATTACTAGTCAGAAGGAAGGCCTTAGAATTGACTTGCTCAAAAGGCCATTTTCACTTTTACTAAAGCTTATAAGGCTTTCTATGCTTTTAATCTCAAATCTCTAGCAGGAATAACTTTCTCGCTTTTGTCATTCTTTTATTAATTCCCTTCGTCAACGAGTTCTTTCTGTTCATATTTACGCTTAAAAATACACTAGATCCAAAGATTTTGAAGACTACTTGTTAGCTTAAATCAGTAATGAAGCATAAACAAGTGAAATAAGGTTAAGTATATCCAGCAGTAGCTTAAGATCATATGAATGATTTGTTTGTTAACGAAACAAAGTAAGAAATAAATGACTCCTCGACTACAGTTTTATCAATTAATAATAATTTTGACTCATTTCATTCAGACTTATTGTAGTTTCTTCAATAAATCTCTCTTAAATTTTCGCGAAAATCACTGCTTTTATTAAGTGATATTTTTGCTACTTACACTCATCATAGATACAGCTGAACTTTGGTAATGCCACAATTAAATTACTGAAAATAAATTACTTTGAGTTTTCTTGCATTTTAGTTTTTTTCAAAAACTGTTCTCTAAAAGCAACAAAATTATTTATTGTAAAAACTCCTGATTTTTTTCAGCACTCAGTACTTTAATTATTTAACGTTGTTTTCAAAGCAAATACATAAAATATATGTTGGTATTAGACTAAAATTTGCATAAATTTTGATACTTTCTTCTTAACTACTCTCAATTTTTCGACGTAAAAACAAGAAATCAAGAAAACATGAGACAAAAAATGAGTGCAATATCAGCTATCCAGATCAAATATTTCATTCGAAATGATTTCTGCCTTTGTGATTGGCATTATCTCTTCATGCATTGCAGTCTGAATATTGTTTTGCTGTAATGTATAGAAAAGCGTTAATTAATAATGACGGCAACGTATGTATTATTATTCTAACAATTGTTATTATTGCTCTGTTTATAAAGTTTGCTTTCAGTTATCACTGACATCTTTAAATTACTTAGAAATAATGCTGGATTTTAAATGTAAACAAAATTATTTTAGATTGATAAATGCTTCTAAACTGAATGGGGAATGCTGAAGACGATAATATAAAATTAAAAATCAAATATCGGTAACAATACAAATATTAATGATTGTAAAAATACAAAATAATAATAAAGTTAATATTAATATTAATAAGAATAATGATATTAATAACAGAAGTAACTGGTGATGACCGCAATGATCGAGCAGTTTTGATCTTCATGACAGCATCGGTGATTAGCCTTAACACACCTCTCACCGTGTCTCAACTTGTTCAAATTTCTATTACTTTTTTTGGTTTGTGTTTATTTGCATATTTTTACTGACTATTTTCTGTACTTGTAATCCTTTTTGATGCATTTAAGTAATTGTATGTTTACTTTGAGAGGAAATCATTGAAATTAGAAAATTTTGACTTTGCGAAGAATGAAAAATATCTCGAAAAAGTGTACGATCAGAGTGAATCAAATCGAAAATGTTAATTCTTTCAAACTTTTCTCAAAATTGATGAAAACAAGCTATTCAAAAGTATAGTTTGCGTCTAATTTTAAGCATATGCAAATGCTATTAACTCAAAAAACATTTTGTTGTCAGTGGTCATTACATAGTGCAATTGATGATTTGCATTATGATGCCCAATTTTTAACCTTTGAATTCCTAAATTGCGGACACTTCTTGTTTCATTTTTCTGAAAGAATAGACAACATTTTTTGTAGCAAAAAGCTGGAATATTGCTTGCAGTGAACAAAGAAGCAAACGTATTAATAATTTTAACACTCTGACATAAGCTTGAATATCACTTTAGATGGTGACGAAGACGTGGAACAAAATTCATTTCCATGGGCATTATTTCACGTTCATGAATGGGTTGTTAATAGCACCGAACTTTTGGCTCATTTCATCTCGCTTTTTCAAGTTTGAATTTTGTGCTGCTTTTTCCATCCAATTTTACCTTTCCAATTGGAATCAAGCTGAAAAGCGTTGGAATTTGATGAAAACATTTTTTAAATCCAAGAAAAATCAAAGCGACTTCTGAATAATCGCATTGATGACTGTGTGGTATGAGAAGAAGTAATGCTAAGAAGTTTCCATTAGATTTATATGTGTTACAGATTTCAAATTATTTTACGTTAAATGCACTTCAAGATTGAAAAGCTAAACATCCGAATAGTAAAAAAGACTTTTATGTTATTATTATTTATTTGCCTTGTTATTATTATTCACAAGTATTATCAGTAAAAGTAGGAGCAGTCGTTACTTTTGTACAAGTAATGGTAATGAGAGTATAAGAGTTGATATTTCCATCAATACCGCATACTTTGAAATTTTTTAAACTTTGAAATTTTTAATGAGTTAGGATTTACATTTTTTCTAGGATCTTTTTCAATTGTAGAAGAGTTTTTGAAATCAGTATTCTTGTGATCTCATTTCGATGCAGAATGAAGAAGACAATACTACTCGAATGCAAATCTGTCGAGCAGTAGGATACTGGATTCAGACCTGTCCAACTCATTTCGACGCATCACTTTGCAGGCTTGTGGATCGCCTGAAATTACTTGCTGTATCGATGGATATTCCAAAAGCTGATGTTCTTCTTGACCTCACATCATTGTAGGTTACAGTCTTGTAAGATTATAATTTATTTGACCAAATACCATTCTGAATTATGTCATCTAGCACTGTCATAAACTACTTAACTTCAGAACGTGTAGGCTACAGGTTAAAAGTAAAACATAAAAGTCTTTGCCATATTTTTCACATCATATAAAATTAAAAATATTTCTCCTTAGCATTTATGGTCTGAATTTTAAAACTCATCTCACATTTGATCATCTTTCCTTCAGTATAGCTAGCAGAAATTTTGTCAGTAAAAAATTATGGCTTGCCTAATGAATTTCTATTAATAATTTTTACCCACTAAATATGAAAATTCAAAAAACTACCTGATAAAATAGAAAACGGGATTCGATTAATGCGAGAATAGATTTCATTACTTCAAATTTGTGATTTGACGATAGATATTTGTGACATAAATTAAATTTGGTTCACAAAAAGGATTAATTATATATTAGCATCATTTATTATTATTTATTATTATTGTTATTGCCATTATTATTGTTGTTATTACTATTATTATTAATTACTATTATTTATAGTATATTACTATTTTTAGTGTTTACAATTATTCATTTTGTATTGCGTACTGTATATAATGACAAATATTTTTTGTCTGAAATAGTGAAATTAAACAGTTTAAATTAGGTTATAATTGAATGCAAAATCTTTCTAATAGTAAAAGGATAAATACTTTCAAACAGAGTTTACAGTTTACACAGCGATATTATCAGTCTTTCTTCTGATAGAGCAATGTATAATTTTCTATTTGATATCTGTAGTGAGTTTAAGACTTAAGATTACCTGATAAATCTTTGAAGTAATTTATTATTTGATTTTTCGGCCTTCTTACTCGTGGATTCGAAATATATCTGTAAGAAATCCTGAGGTTCGTAAATGCTCCCTAAGTTTCGGGCTGTGGACTGCCGAGGAAATTGCTGTTTCGCTCAGTCATATTGATTACAAAGCTTTGTTTCGAATTCCCGTAATACTTTTTCCTTTTTTATGGACGCATTTTCTTGCAGCCAACAACTTGTAATAATAGTTTTCGATTATTTTAATCAATAAATGAGAAGTGAAAATGAAATTTGATTTTCAGATTAGCGAACTAAAGCAGTACTGTACCGATGGCAATCTTTCTCACACGCCTATTTTGGAAAGATCAATTTCAATCTTTAATGTAAAATTATTTGCTTATTGAGCTGAAATAGTTAGAGCGTTAAAATTTCATGTTTTTTAATTATCTTTATTTGAAGTTAATTTGTTGGAGTCGTATTTAGAGTGAGTATTAATGATGGAGAACTTCGTCGGTTATTACTATTTGAGTAAATTACATCTAACTGCAATAAATTTAATGAATGTGCAGCAGTTTAAATTGAAGTAAAGTTGAACAGTGAGTCGGATTGTTAGAGTAAGTTTGCTCAATTCATTTATGCAAGGGCGAGTTTTCAGTTCCTCGAGTTTCTGTCAAACGTTTCCATCTTTCTGAATTTATTCTAAAATTAACCAACGGTTACAAAATTGTTACCACACATTTGATTCATTTGCATTAATTTCATATTATTTAAATGAATGCATAATGTATCTATCCTGCTTCAAGAGTTTGTCAAATTGGGTGCAGTGTATGGTTCTGAATAAAGGAACACCTGTTGAACGTGCAGAAATGATCACTAAGTTTGTTCATGTAGCAAAAGTTAGTACACTATCAATAAATGGCTATAAAATGTAACTGTTCAGCAGGAACAGAAATGCTTTTAAAAATTTTGGTTCTCAGTCATTCCACAAGTAATTTTTCTTTGCTAATCCACTTTTTGTCCTGAATTAGAAAAACTAAAAAATTGTTGCTCAAATATTTCGGAACTTACTTCCATAATCTAATTCTTCATTTCAGTACCTTAAACAGATGAACAACTTCAATACACTAATGGCAGTTATAGGAGGCGTGACTCATAGTAATATCGCTCGATTATCCAAAACATTTTCCGCTTTATCCAGTGAAGTGAAAAAAGTTTGTAATTTTCAGAAAGCAATAATATAAGGAATTTAGCAAAAAGCATACATCTTTAAATTGCAAAAATAATTGGTGAGATAGGCAGAGAGATAGATAGATAAATAAATAGATAGATAGATAGATAGATAGATAGATAGATAGATAGATAAATAATTGAGACAAAATGAAAGTTTATTCAAATTTCCGAATGAATTACTCATTTCCAGGAAATCAGTCATTTCACACAACTGCTATCTTCAAGTACAAATTTTTTTAATTACCGAAAAGCTCTCCGGGATATTCCAGGATCTTTCTGTATTCCTATTATGTAAATTTTCTTACTCATTATCAAAAACCATTTTTTGACATGGAATTTTTTAATTCTTTTCATTTCAGCATATATTGATGAAAGTGTGCGCATTATTTTGCTAGTAACTCTTAAGACTGAAATCTCAACTGAGAGAGTAACTGAAGGAATATAATTATCAAAGACTGTTTTATTTGTGAATAATGTTTTAGCGTGAAAGAAGTGAAATATCACCATCCATCAACCCAATGCTTTCTTTCGTATCATATTTAAGACTAAACATTTTTTCAAGAAAAGACTGGTACTTAATCATGAAAGAATCAGCATACTAACCTGCAAGTTAGTTTTTGGATGAAAAGCACTTCATTTGCAGGGGTGTACACTTGAAAGATTTAATCAGCTTGCAAATAAAAGATCGCGAAATGGGACACTGCTGTCTTGTTTCTTGTCAAAAAATTCTTAAGCTAGCAAACCATTTATCACATTTTATCAGTTTCAGTCGCACTCCTCATAATTTCCCTGATGCCAATATTGATCTCATTCATACGCTCAAAGTATGATATTACTACAAAGTTTGATTACTGAACTTAATCCAAGTTATTAATAACATTTGAATAATAAGTCAAATTTGATCACTAAAAATTTTCACTAATTATCAATCCTCGTCTGATTATACTTGCATGCTATACAATGCAGTCTTGTCTGAAAACTTGTTTATAGGTTTCTTTTGATATTCGATACAGTGAAGATGACATTTATCACCTTTCCTTAAAACGTGAACCTCGTACACTTCTCAGTGTAAGCGTACACTTCTCTTATATAAAGCTTTGTTTACTGGAGTTGATGTAAGCGCTTTTGCATGTAAACGTAGCATACTTCTTGCGAACGAAAGTAATATTTATTTTTATAAAATATCAAAATAAAATATTGAGTTAATTTTATGTCTTGCGCATCTACAAATGTGGGTTATTTTGAAAATTCTATTCCATCAATAAAAGCATAAATTAAGTCTGCGTAATCGTTTAAATTGCTTAGAAAATTACTTAGTTTTTTTACAAGGAAAATAACTTTGTATTACATGAACTTCTGTATTGCAGTTCCAAAATTCCGCGAAATCGTTAGTCTTTGCGGATTGGGCGTCAGGAGTGAGTAGCACGTTAGATTCCGAAATCGTGAATAAACATATCACGGCAATGGTAGACGCTGTATTTAAAAACTACGACCACAATAGGGATGGCTCTATCTCACAAACTGAATTCCAACAAATTTCCACCAATTTTCCATTCATAGCCCCGTTCGGAACTATCGATACTAATAAGTAATCATGAATCTTTGTTCTAAGCGCTCAGAATCAGAATGCAACTTCATGATTCTAAAAATTTCAAAAATTTGAAGCTTTTTTCATTTCTACTACATTTTTCATGATTGCAAATTTTTTGACTAAATTTACATAATAATAGTTATCAGTTTCTCAAATTCTTTCTTAATTTAATCGAAAATAAGGCAATTTGTAGAGATGGACTAATAAGTAAGTTGGAAATGAAAGCATATTTTGTAAAAATTTGCAAACAATCAATGGAATTTCGTCGTGAATTTAAACATAATTTTTACGAGACGACGTTCTTCACGCCCGCTTTATGCGCTCACTGCGACAAATTAGTAAGTATTATTCACCAAAATTAGAAGCTGCATCAATATTATGATTTCATGAATTTCACGAATTTCACGAATACCCCCAACTTAATTTATAACCGGTCACAAAAAATAAAAATATTAATATTTAATAGAAGTATAAATGATGATTCATGATAAGACTGCTATTGTTATTTCAAACTAGTAGCTCAAAAATTGAATATAAGCTGGCATTCAAGTCTTGTTATCAGATAATTACATAACGCAAAGTAACCCTTCTATGTTGGATAACTTTTGAGTTATGGGGTATTATTCGACAAGGAATTAAATGTCATGATTGTGGACTTGTCGTTCATCGAGGCTGTGGTGATAGCGTCGTCGTAGAATGCAGACGTCTTTCCACCTGTTCAGCAAACGCGTGGAAAACATCACACTCCGAGCAAACTCGTCCAAGTCGGAAACTTCTACCTGCTATCAAGTGCTCATTCGATTCCTCATTTTCGTCAATTCTTATTTATTCATTAATATTTACCATGTTGCATTCATTCTAACTTCAAACATTAACAGATAAATTTCTAATACGTATGTCGCATAAGTCAATCTGTTCAGTCCCTTATACGAGCTTCAAACAGGTGATTCTCTCTAAATTATGTTAATTGTGAGAGCAGATTATGATATTCCTGACATTCTTTTGTTCGTTACGAACAAGCTACAATACAGCTGTACTTCACTCAAATTACTTTTTGAATTCGTGAACTTACTTTTATTTCTTGGCTGCCTCAAATCAAAACTTTTTTATTCTTCATTCGTTTAACGTACTTTTTAGCCTAAAAGTTGATAGTTCCATCATGTAAGTTAATTAAATTTCCTGTTGTGAATGAGAAATGATAAACAGAAAAATATCAGAAAGAAAAAATTGCTATCTGCATTCTCATTCCTTTTAAAAATTGTATTAAATTTGAAAGAAAGAGATTTGCTTGAATATTTTTTTCGCGAAATTCAAAATATTTTTAGATCCATTTCTCGGCTACGAACATTTAGTGCTACATCAGAACGCTCTGCAGCAGGTATATCATCAACTGCGGAATGTTCCGCATCTACCTCCTGTAAACTCTGGCTGAATTTACGCTCTCATTCTCACAAAAATCGTACTCGATCTGAAACTAATGATTATTATCAGTAAGAGATTATCATTTTTGTATACTTAATTATTTCTGTTCCAATCTCATAGATAACAATTACTCTTCAGCATAGAGAATGATAATACTTTTGCGAATATAGTTTGTGCAAATTAGTTATAAAGCTGGAAGAACATTTTTCACTGTATTTTACTGGAAGAATTTTGCTATTTTCAATATTACAGATGGTTAATATTCCCAAGACAGTTGCTATTCTCAAGTAATAGTTGCTAGGAAGTGTACTTTTTTGCTCATTATGCAACTGACTTTAAAAAGGACAGATCTGAATTATTTTTGACTAAACAATCATTCCATACACTGTATCAATAATACATATATAGATAGATAACACTATTCCAACTGCAGTAAAATTATATTTAATACAGTTAAATTTGAATCGTTAGTCACAATATCACTACAAATTTAATAACAGTTCAAGTCATCATTCAATATTAGTTCACTGAAACAATGAAACAGAACCTAACAATTTATCAAATACAGTAAATAATAATCTAGTGGAATGGATGGTTCCTATGATCGTTAATTTAAAGGGTAGAGAATTCAATAGAATCACCGAACACTGATACAGTACCATCGTTGGCATGTGAGGAAGTTTTTGAAGATGAATCTCCCCGTATTTCTATATCCGATTTGAATGATTCTCATAGCGCTGTACGGTAACGCATTATATGCTTTTTATATGTAAACTTGGTCATGCACCAGTTAGTACTAATCTTTTCACTGGATGCATTTAAGTTTTAAAAGATTAATGTTTGAGATATTTCAAATAAGAAAATCGAAATACAGTACTGAGTGGAAAAAATTTAGGTAATATCATTAATTTCAATCATCTCTCCATACCAACCTGTTTTCTTTGCAATCTCTGAACTTGCGATACTTAAACAGATGCGCTGATCCTTCAATTCAAAAAATGTCGCAATAGCAATTCGATCTGTAAAGCGTGTGTTTGTCGTCATCGCTTATTACGGGTATAAATGTACTATCAACTTATTTATGCTGCTACTTGTGTTGTTTTGCAATAAAAGAGTGAGCTAGAAGCCAGCTGCATGTTATAAAATAAATCTCACATCAATAGCATAGCCAAAATAGGTCTCATCAACTATTGAGACTGAAATTGCCTTATGTTTTGAAAACAGTTTCAAACTCACAATAAATGATATTTAATGGATTGCAGTGCTCTTCAGTGAGATCCGTCAAATGATTAACTGCACACAAATCATATCAATAACAATACCAAGTCACAAAAGTGTTCAAAAATTGCTGATGACAGAAGCAATTACAGTAACCATGATAGTGGAAAACAATTAAACTGACAATGACAGTAAATTGAAAAAAAAGCAAAAAAAACCCGCAGCAACAGAAAAACGGTTTCTCAATAAACTTGTGCTCCTTAAAATCTGAGCAAAACAGTGTTTTCAGAAATATGAACGGCAAGAGATATGAAGCACTGAAATGCGAATAAAGGACTAAACTCAAAAAGAGCACCCCTCTCAATCTGGAAATTTCGAATAGGAACACGTTTTCGCCGCTGAGCAGTGAGCAATGAGCAATGCACGTAAATGAGAATTGCAACTCGATGCAAAGATATCAAGTCAGTAAGCATGTTACACTCCACACCGTAACGATGGAAAGCTGACTACTGCTACAGCTGTTAGCAATGCGAGCAGCTGCGGCCTAATTTGCATGTGAAAAAGAAAGGAATTCTCGCTGATCTCTGATCACATTCTTAGGGGTCGATCAATCATTCAACGAAGAGACAGCGAAGGTACAGGACAAATATGGGTCGGGTCATTTAATTTCGCATTCACCCTAAAATGGGCCTAACTACGCAAGGATGGTTCACTACTTCGGTCTTATTCATCACTTCGCTTACTTTCTCATTTGCTCAGAATGACCATTGTTTCCGATGTGCCAACAGCTTCATCTTGATGGTTTGACCTCAGCAGTCTTATTTTCTGATCTTCAAATGATCAAATCTAAAAATATTCGAAAAAAGAAAACCAAAACTATCCCAAATCTAAAATAGTCTCTTACCTTTACAGATTTATTAGTAAGCGATATCGGTATCAACACTTATTTCTAGCATTGGGAGCGTTTTTTACCAATTCAAGCAGATGATGAACTTGTAGAAGATTCTACATGTACCAAAATAATTGAAGGTTCAGAGGTGATTCGATGCAGTGGCCCATGTCTTACGCTAAATGTAACCTTGAAAGAAGGAAATAATACTCGAATTATAGGTATTATATTCAGCAAAATTACCTTTACAATTCGAATTTATAATTTATAGTAAAAATTTCACATTCATTTATAGACACGCTATTCATGCATTTATACATCAGAAATCAAAAGAAAAGTTTTTGTGTTAACCATTCTTAACTTTTTCTTTTGACTAACGCAGTACGATTGGTTGAGATCAGTTTCTGTCATTAGAACATCAATGAGTTTAATTTTATATACAAAATTTCATTCTGAAATCACACGGAAATTTATAACTTACATCATTTCAGATTCTTTTTTATAAATAATTGAAATCCTTTTGTAATTAATTAAATTAACCTTTACTACACAAGCATGTGAATATCTTGAAGGTGACTAATTTGAAAAAATTTTTCTTTTAACAGTAAATTCAAGAAAATACTCCAGTCATTATTAAGCAACGTGAAATCTTGGTTCTACTAGAAGAAAGTATGATTAGTAATTACTCAGACTGATATTCAACTACATTACGCCATTAAAGCAAATATTGCCGGTGCATAAGTACTCTTTCCTTTCTACATGAGAAATTTCGTTCAGATTTCGGTCATTTCGTTAAATACGGTGTTTAAGAGATTAAGAGTTGGGGTGGTGGGGAGCACAAGGTAAAGCTTGAAAAATACAGTAGGAAAAATTTTTTGAAAGAATATGTCAAGAAAAATTTGCAGTGTAACCATAGCTTTTCTGTTTTGGGAATGATGCGAGACTGCCAGAAAAAGTACTACAGAAGGGAGCGATACAAAAATAATCAAAACCGTAGTTGTCGGAATCAAACCGTTGAAATCCGTCACCGTAAATTAAATGCGGAATATTGTTTCTGTTATGGTAGCTATTGTAACGGTGATATGCTGGAAAAAGAGCGAAATTCTCGAAAAACAAAATTCCAGACAAAAAACCGGAACGGCACCATAAACTCATCAACTGATCGTTATTCCTTGCATATTATTCAACTAATAATGCTTATTGCAAATTATGTGCTTTGATAGCGTGGTACATTATTATATGGTTTTGTACTTTTCATGCAATATTTCGAGTGTATTTGATAATCTGTTTTAGTTTCTGCAGAAAAGGTGATGTTCGTTTTTCCAAACCATACTACTACCTATGTATATTTTAATTATCGTGTAACTCTCTTGCAAGTATTTACAGTCAGCATAAATTCGTTACATCACCACATCTTTGGAATATTTTGACTTAAAAATATAAAGGATTTTTACACAAAAAATCAACTTGGAATTAATAATAATGATCATTATTGCACAAGAACAGTAATGGCTTGTTTTATCATCTTATAAACAATGCTAGTTTGTTTTAATTCGAAATATAGTTTCGTACCATTTAGCAGTTACCCGCTGAACCACGTTCGACGATATCACTTAAGTATATACTATTCAGAAGTGCATTTCAAATGAAGTAGGCAGTAAACACGTATTAAATAGTAAAATCTGGGAGAATACTGACCGTTAATTTAAAATTTTAGGGCGAATTCAGCGTTAAAAACAATGTCAGCACCGTAAGTCATCAAAAGCGTTCGGTAATGTAATGTGTAAGACAATTACGTCAGACACATTCAACATGTTGAAAGCATATTTAAAAACATGAAAAGAGTGGAAAAAAAGCTGCGGACCGTCTGCCATAATTACGTGACAATTACACAAAATGAAGAGACGTACGCACTGCACGGTTACCTTACATCATTCCAAAAAAGGTCTGAAAGGTGTGTTTACAAGTAAAATTTTCTAATAAAAAAACGCTGCAATATATTTTTTGGGTTCTGTAATGAAGACTTGCGTTACTGTAGTATTAAGGCAAATGCTGAAGGATTCAACGTATTGTATTCTATCTGTTATTGATCTTTTCATTGAGAACATTTTCGCTTGTACTGTGGTCTTTTTATTTCTTACGTCACAAGGAAATTTAAGTGAATTTTTTTTGCATAAATTCTCGAATTGCGCATAGCTTCGCGTGTGAGAAGTTTTCACGTCAACGTATATCACGGGCATGCAGAATTCAGAATATGAACATATCTTATCTTGCGGATACTAAAGTGATATCGATAGTTGCTTGTCATGTCAAAATGATAGTAAAAAAATTATTAGTTATTTTTTGTTATTCTTTTTTTGAAATTTCTTTGCTTTATATGTCTATAATTGGTTCATCTGTTTATGTTTAGGGAGCTGAAGCTTTTAAGCTGTCGCTTCAAATATTTCAGCCAACAGTTTTTTAAAATTCGTTTTAGCACTTGGTTGTTCCACAGCAAATTTCGTGCAATGTCAGACCCGGTGGCGGAGTTTCTGGCTCGTGAACAGGATGTTCTAGCAGGGATAGAGGATGATTCACTAGGGCCTCTTACTCAATTGAATAATGGTGCTGTGGATAGTAATGGTGGGTTCAGTCGTACATTGAATGCATTATTTGTCGTTCAGATATTGCTCACTAATGGTGATTAAAATTGATAGTAATCATTTGTAAACATCAATATTTTTGATATCATTTGTAAACATCAATATTTTTGATATCATTTGAATAATTTGTTCAAAAGATTACTAAAATCTGTAGTGCAGGTCAGTTTTGCGGAATTAAGTGAATACAGCGCAGAAAATTTTGTCTAAAATGTGTGTTGTTTTGTAAGATAATTTTTGCTGTTTTATGAGATTTTTCGGAAAACCACTGAAGATATGAAATAAGTTAGTTTTAGGGAGTAATTTTGGTTTGAATAGAGTGATAGGGTTAAACGAAGTTCTTGATTTGGATATGGATTTGCATACCTTTGGTGGTACGATAAATTCTAATGGTTTTCAACGGCCAAATTCAAATAGCTATTCACCTGTGAATAGTTTATTGAAGGTTGAACCAGAAAAAATTAAGAAATGGAGAGAAGATCAAAAAATAATGCTGGACATGAAAGGTCTAAATTTCCTCATTATTATTTTGATATTGATCTTTATAAATATGTTTGCTTTTTTGATGCAAGTTATCTGCAGGCACATTTGTACTGAACAGCTATGAAATGGTATATGCTGGCATTAAATTTTTGTTTCATTTTTTGCTAACTGTACAAAAATATATAGGTTTTGAATCAATGAAATTAAAATTTTATTTATGTTTTGCCTATTTTCGACTCCATTGTCTTATGCTGCATGTTGCATTATTAGTTAGGATTGTTTGCATCTTCTCCATTTTATGATTTTACTTGTTAATAATTTAAAATCTACCTTTGCTTCGGTATCTTGTCATTTTGGCGTCGATTTTGGGAAGTTAAGAGAAGACTTTTTGGAAGTTGAAAGTTTTTTCATTCTAGAAGTCTAGATTTTAGATAAGGATGAAGAGAGAAAAAAGAATGAGATGAAAGCTGCTGGTAGGAAGGAATTGGAAGATTGGTATGCGCAAAGAGCAGAAAAGCTAGCTAAGACCAGGATTGCTAATCGGTCCTTTCATTTTCTTTTTGCTTAGTTCATTTGTATTTTGCGACGGTTTATGGAAATACTTTTTTAAATTACTGGCATTTTATTTCCACTTGTGCCAATATCTGTTGTGCATATTTTTTGACAGAAAAGAGGAAAGAAAACTTTTAATTTTTCCAAGTTCACTCTGTAATATTTTTTCGATCTAGGTTTGATTCATCCAATATGTTATTTCTTTATTATTTTTAAGAAAAGCCGAAGAAGACTTTATATTGGATCGTGATTCAGCCAAAAATGGTGGTGAATGGGAACGTATCGTCAAACTCTGCGAATTTAATCCTAAAAATTCGAAAAATTCTAGTGATTTATCTCGATTGAAGTCGCTTCTTCTCCAGCTTAAAACGCAGAAAGAATGATTTACGTGGATTGTATTTTCAAAGGTGTTAGTCTCATTGTTTTTTTAGTAATGGTTGTACTAAACGTTAATCTGTTATTTCTTGGGAGGATTATTTAACGCTTCTTGTTATCCCTTGTAGTCCGGATTTTTCTTACATAAAATGGATTGCAAGACGAAAATGCTGTTTGCATTTCCTACAGTCATCACTAGTATCTAGTTATCTTGTTGATCATAAACGAATTTATCAAATTATTAATCATATTGTACAATGTGGAAAAATTTTTTTGCAAAAGTAAAATTGAAATACGAAAGTTATTCATTTAGAGTATTTCGTAAATTCTTTATTCTGCTTTTATTTAATGAAAAGAGATAGACATTCTGGAGCCACGTGCCTTGAAAGCATAAATGTTGAAACTTAACGAATCGTAATGTTATTTAAAAAGTTTTATAAACTTGAGCATTACATACTGAAACTGAAATGGAGGAAGCAATTCAACTAGTGAACGTATGTGATATGTAAGTGATATGTTTTTTGTTTCGTTAATTGCAGCAATCTGATGCGATTCCATGACATTGAAAAGTATCATCATTTAGTTAATTTATGAAATCTTTACTGCTCTTTTCGATTAATGATTCGTAATTTCCTTGATCATCATTTTTAAATTGCATTTGGAATATCATAGGTATTATATTCAGTTTTGTATAGTTAATCTGTTCATCGGATGTTTTTTCCATATAACCTTTCTAGATCTGATTTGATGTAGCCTTTTAGTGTGATGCTATTTATACACTTAGCTTGCGAATGGCTTTTTTTGTTTAACCGGTCTACAGCTGTGGTTTTCATGATAAATCCTCGTTCTGTTCACTTATGAAATATTATCTAACATTTCTCACAGTATTTTTCATTGAGTTTGAAAAGATGTGCTTTTCACTCAGATATGTTCCTATTTTTTCAATTTCAATAATTTTTTGAACTTTGTTTAACAGGTGAATAAAATCAGTGTAGTGGCAAGTATTTTTACAGAAATAAAAATGGCTGCGAAATATCTAGCCATGCATTCATGTGCGATATCGACAATAAATAGACTCTTCTGTGCAGGAATGTATTTCTACGTTTCCTAATCTTAATCTTGTTGTGAAGACATGGCACTTTGTCAACTGGAAATTTCTGTCAATCCATGAAGACTAACGACATCATTAGCGGTATGCAATAAAATGGAACCAGTGTCGTCTCATATTGTTGGTGTTAATGTGTCGTACGTAAAGTTTGTGTAAGGCCTGTTTACGTTGCCTATTTAATTTTATGTAGTCAGTTAAGACTGGGAATCTGTTTATGTACTGATAGTTGATAGTTGCTCAGTCCCGACTCATATTTTATCAGTGTGTAGAGAGCATGTGAATATATTGGGAAGGAAGTACTCCAAATTTTACATATTTGTTACAAATAAAGGAACTATTTTGTTGAATGTAGATGTGGATTGTCAAGCTCCAAATGTGATGGAACTTACTGTATTGTTGGAAAAAGAAGAAGAAGTTTTGTCAGTGTTACACGATGAATTGGAAGTGTATAAGTTAGCAGTAAGTATTCCTCGGGCAAGGAGTTTGAAACGAATGGACCATAAGAGGGTACGACTTGTGGTGAATTTTAATTAGAGATTGCTTAATTAAGATTGTTATATTCATTTCGTGTGTCTCCAGAATGGATTCATGAGGATGCATGTGTGCGTTTAACTTTGTAGAAACTACTTAAAAATTCTTTTGAAAAAAATTTTCATCTTTGCAGCCAACGGAATTAAAAAATACTGGATTCGAACACGGGCAGGTCACCAGATTTATATCACATAAAAATGAAAAATCAATGATAAAGAATCTGTCTGTAGAATTAAAGAAAAAAGTTGTGGAGGTAGAAAATTTGGTTCAAAAACTTGAAGCCAAAGAAATTGAGTTGTCGAATGCAGTTCACGCAAACACCTTAAAACAGGTTTGTGAGTTTGTTACTGACTCATATATGAAGGTTGTCGCATCCGTTTGTAATGTTAGCATTGAAAGTAAACTAACAAAGTTGCATACTTTTTGTTTAGAGACATATTGATTATTTGGTGGGAGCTATGGCAAAAGAACGTGACACAATGAATGATAAATTATTGACATTAAATAATCTTTTGGTTCAGAAAACGTTGGAATGTGATCAGTTGAATTCAGAAGATAAAGCCTCGAAAGTAACTTTTTTTCTGTTAGCATTTATTTGCTTCAGTTTTAAGTAAATACTTTTGTAAGTGAAACCTTGGGACTCAAAAAGAATGAAACTTTGGGAGCAGCCAAAACTTCAGTATGTGATTGGTACATAGTGGTATTGACCTTTAATTCGATTTTTCTACAAGTTTGTAAATAAAATGCTTTCACTGATTTTATTCATGTTTTTTAAGTACCTGAGAATCTATTATTTTAATAATTTCTAATGCTATTTATTTAATATGTCATCAGTTTATTTATAATTTAATGTCACCATTTAAGACGATTGTTTTGACAGTCACCGATGAATCCAGTCTTATCTGATTAGACACTAGTTTTGCTACCATTTTCGAAATCAATTTGTTAATTTTCATATTTTCATGCTAAAATAAAAATATTGGAAGATGCAAATGTTACGAAAGAAAAACTTGTTAATGATTTCATGGAAAATGTAACGAAGGAGTTATCAAAGCGAAATGAAGAAGAAAAGTCGCTTGCTTCTAGGCTATCTATTTTAGTTGATGAGAATGACACGTTACGTTCGTCACTCATTACTTTGGGTGCAGCAGAACTTTCGCCACGTCAGTTTTTTATTTTTAAATTGAAATGTTGTAAATTTAACTATCGTGCAAAATTGAGATCCAGATTTTAAAGTTATGAATATGTTAGATGGGAAAAATCCATCTTGTTATCGAAAATTGATAGTAAGTTGAGTTGCTAAAATTATGTTTCGACAATCATATTGATAGTTATGAGGAACAAAAATTGAAGGAAAGAAATTTTTCAATTATTGTTGGGGATCATTTCCAAAATATTTTATATTTATCAAAATAATTATGAATGATTTTTTTCTATTTACGAATGATTTCTTAGAAATAAGGGCACAAGTTTCTCATGAAGATTAATTTTTACTGGATATCCATCAGTGACATTTTCGAAGTTATTTTGTTTTCTAAATTTCATTTTTTTCGACCTGAAATTTCGTTTTGCAGAGTGCAAAAAACTGCTCGAGCAGCAACATAACTTTATCGAAACATTGAAATCTGAATGGGAAATTTTGACACATCGTTTGATGAAAGAACGAGCTGAACACAGGTGATCGAAATTGCTGAATATTATTACAAAAAAGCAAGCGCATATGTATCAAAGATATTTTTTAGGAAAGAACGAAAAATATTGAAGCGTCAAGTGCATGATCTCAATCTGCGTCTCGAACTTTTTATATCTGGGAAGCAAGATTTAGCTAACACATAATTTATGATTATCTGCTATTTTCTCTATTTCGAATTTTTTAGAGTCGTCAAAAAATTATGTGTCTAAAAATTATTTCAAATAGAATAAAGGGGTGTATCTGCTTCACACCCTAATTTATTTTTTTTCATCAGTACCTGATCTGGAGGTAATCAAAGTAGGTTGAAATTTCGTCACTGCTATTCTTGAAACGTCTTTAGAACTTGCCAGATGACCTAGGAATTGATGTTTAAGAAAGTCTGTAGCTTCTTTTCGTAAGACGTGAGTTGTTCTACTGAGTTTATAAGATGGTCTGTATTTCGCACGAGTTTCGGAAGAACTCGAAGCTAACATAATTTTTAAACATTTGATTGTGCTCCAAAAATAGTTTTTTTTTCTTTCAATGTGACCAAATGAATTATAATTTTGCTTTCCGTGACCTACATATTCATTGACGATTATCTGTTACTAATCGTTCTCTGCAGTTTTATGGTTAAATAATGAAAAATAAAACTGATGTACTTTGTCATGCTGTTCGCATCTGAAGGGTGAATTCCAGTGAGGTATATTTTGCATGTATTTGATAAGTATGCATTGATCTATCAAAGATTACTTTGGCGATGAATTTAAGTGCAGTGATAAAATTTTGCCTTTTTTTACTGTGTGGTTTTCATGAAGATTTTATTTTAATAGTTTATCTAAGGAAAAATTATTCATTTTAACATTTTGCTTTGGTGCGAGTGGCATAATACTAGGATTGATTGTTAGTCAACTTTATTTTTTTCGGTTTAATTGGTTTTGATTAAAATGTGCATGGTTGGCACGTCGATCAAGTAATGCAAAAAATTAAAACGAGTGCCATGAAATCATTGGTCTTTTTCTGAGGTTGTAATTTGTGAAAATTGAAGGTCATATATTCATTGTGCATTATTTCGGTATGATTCTTTGCAAGTTTGACTGCATCAGTGTATTTTCAAGATGAACTTAAAGTTGTGAATTCAACACAGGGATGACGTCTGATCACATTGTTTCAACTATAATGGAAAACGTAAATGGAATCACTAACCCGGCCGAACGTGCCTTAAGGATTAAGGACGAAGCTAATCAGTTTTTCAATGGTGAGATACTTATTTTGAATGACCCTGGCTTCAAAGGATGTCGTGGTTATTTAGATTGACATTTTAGTTTTGTTTTGTATTATAATTCATTTCAACTCTTGCAGGACATCATTTAAAAAAATGGAGATCTAAATTGTGCTAAAATTATATTTAGTCCAGTTCTGTCACGAAATATATATTTTTTAAACGATTTTTTTATGTCAGATCAAGCATATGATGTAGCGATTAAGCTCTACACCATCGCAATTGAACTTGACGACAAACAGCCTTTATTTTATGGTAACCGTAGCATGGCTTATCTAAAAAAAGAATTATATGGTAGCGCATTGGAAGATGCAAACGCAGCGTTAGCAATTGATCCGAAATATTGGAAATGTTATTACAGGAGAGCTACAGCATACATGGCCTTAGGAAAATTAAAGCTTGCTCTGAAAGATTATGATACGGTTAAGTTTTCTTTTTTATATTTTTAGTTTTGCATTTTTGAAGTTTCTTATGCCTTCTATTATATGCTATGACAAATGCAAATTAGAAAATCTGTGCGTACATCTTCCACTCGCTAGTTTCTTTTTGTAAATGTGCGCTAAGAAATTCTTGAAATGTTGTGAGTATAAGTAAAATGATTCTCAGTTCAAAAAAAGCAAGTATTAATTTTAGAAAATTTTTAGCTCAAAAAAGTTGGTTGAAATTTTGAAAAGGCCCTGTAAAAATGAAAATTAGAGCAGTAGAGTAATGACAAAATACCGATTTTCGCCGCATTTTTTCTTCGTTTTTTATTTCGTACTGTTAAGTTTTGAATAGTTCAAATCAATTTTATGTTTGAATTTAGGTTTGCAAGGCATTAATCAATTTTATGTTTGAATTTAGGTTCGCAAGGCATTACCTAGTAATCATGATGCTAAGCGGAAATATGAAGAGTGCCAAAAATTGATGCGGAGAATTGCTTTCGAAAAAGCGATATCGATGGATCACGACAAACGGAGTGTAGGAGATTCAATAAATTTGGATACTATTGGTTATTTTCTTCCTTACCTTCAAGTTATTTCTAAATGAGAAATGTTACCTGATTTGAAATTAGAAACGAAAGGATATATTCATCCTTGTTTCTAATATTTTTCTACATCATCTATGTTTTCAAACTAATTGAGAACCAATTGTTATTTTTTTACAGCGTTGAATTTTATTTATGTAATTTTATTTCATCAGTTTTAGAGGTAGAATCTACATATGATGGTCCTATTTTGGAGGATGATATTTCAATAGAATTCATGAACAAATTGATTGAAACATTCAAAGCACAGAAGAAACTGCACAAAAAATATGCCTATAAGGTTAGTATTCGGAAACAAATTTCTCACTCATTTTGTTCTTTGTTCCTTGAAAAAATTTAAGATTGCATGCAAAAATCTTAAATTTTTTCAAGTACTGTGTACTGTGAAAATTGTTTTGAATTGGATATAATGGCGTCAGATTTAAAGCTGTAGTGTTTGCAAAGGGAAATGAGACAGCAATTTATTATTGAAGTTCGATGTTTGATGTTTGGATTCATCACTGCTTTGTTCACAGAATAAGTCACTCAGTTTATGAATTTTCTTTCAAAAAAAACGCTAGGATTTACTTCCATATTTTTATCAAGCACTTGAGATTTCATTTTGAAATCCTTCATATGTTTATTTCGGCTTAAGATTGATAGTTTCTCGTACTCAGTAATACATTTTAGTTTTTTCAGATTCTTCTTGGGATCAGACGTATGTTTGGCCAGTTACCCACTCTTGTAGAAATCACAGTACCAGCAGGAAAAAAGTTCACTATTTGTGGCGATGTTCATGGCCAATTTTATGACCTGTGCAATATTTTTGATTTAAATGGATTGCCGTCAGAAACTAATGCATACGTGAGTTCTGTGTTAAACTGGCCTCTACTACTTAACGCGAACTGTTTTACATATTTTAAAAGACTTTAATGGTTTAAAAAAAATTAAATCATGTATAGGCAGGTTTCTTACGTATAATAATAAATTTGATAGTTTCATTAAATAGAATTGACGTAACATTATTTAAATGTCAGAATTTACATAATTTGATTTAGATGCTGATGACATCTAT